GCGACTTAAAACCACAAAATGTACTGATAAACAAGGAAAAAGCCCTTTGTGCAAAGCTTTCTGATATGGGGATTAGCAAGAGGCTTCCTGCAGATATGTCTTCTTTAGGTCATCATGCTACTGGTAGGAAGTCTGGTCTATTGCTCCTGTAGTGTTTGCATTGACTTTGCTTTATATGTATCATGCATCATCTCCAAAAAAGATTGTGGGATAGGTCTATCTACTTGGGAATTTCATTATCATTACCATTTACTTCAATTAGAAGTCATAGAGCCAGTTGATCAACTCTATAATGTGTTTGGCATAATATCCACACATGCACTGTTGTGAGTATTTACTGCATGAAATGTTAGCTCTACAAACTATATGAACATGTTTATTCAACTTGTTATCTTTAATGGTGCTACTGGAGACCTTTATTGTATACTTTTTCAGCATGCCCCGGATTGAAAAGAATTTGATAATCGTGTAGAGGTTTTAGGAGGAATTCCCCTTGAATCTATATGGATTGTATCTAAGTTGATTTTCTAGGAGTAAACTATGTTGCATATCCAGCATTTGTTCGTAAACTTACTTGAGTCTTTTCTGACTAATGCCTAATGACTAGGTAATGGAAGTTCCGGTTGGCAAGCTCCAGAACAGTTACTTCATGAACGCCAAACACGGGCTTTGGATATGTTTAGCTTAGGCTGTGTCCTCTTTTACTGTGTTACTGGTGGCAGACATCCTTTCGGTGATCGACTTGAACGTGATATCAATATAATCAGGAACCGAGTGGATTTTAATCTGGTGGAGGATATGCCAGAAGCACATGATCTCTTTTCTCGTTTACTGCAACCAAACCCTCAAATGAGGTGAGTTCAATTTGGTTTAGCACTTCCACCAAACATGTATTCCTTGGATTATTTTCTATTGACTATGGTGGGATTTTAACATGTGCCTAACTTACAATCCTTTGTTTGTTCACTTTGTTGTGGGCAATCAATGTCTTTTGACCTTACAATTACCTTTCTCGTGACGTACATATATATTCCACATATAAAGTTTATCTGAAATAGATTGCTATCTCTAGATAAAAGTTGCCTTGAAAGTAAGTAAATTTTTGACATTGATACTATGCTTCGACATTGAAAGTAAGTAAATTCAAGCTTGCATCAGTAACTTGGTTTTCAGTACTATGCTTTTACTGTTGAAAAACTGAATTCAGTAACAAATGGGGGAGCAGTTAATAATTATTAATATTTTTACCCTTATTTATTCTTTATGAGATTTTTTTTGTACACCAACCCATACTGATATAAAACTCTTTCCCCCCTCCCCCCCGTCTACTTGCCTTCCCATCTTCATAATTCTCATCTTTAGTGTAACAGCCGCCAGGACCAACACCATAGATGATAGCAGAGAAGCATGTCACACATCCTGTATGGTCCAACCACCTCCTCATACCACCCTGCCCATTCTGCATGTCCATCAATACTCTTCACAGCCATGTCCACCTGGTTAGAGGGAGAAGAAGTTTTCAGATCCAACTTAACTTACTGAAAGGATCCAACATGGTAGATGTTGTATGGAATCCACCTACTATCTCTAATCATTGTTGGTTCCAACTCCTAAGTTCATGCAAAAATCTTGGGTTGAAGCTGGGATTGGATTGGATTGTTGGGTAGTGATTGTCACTTGTCACTGATTGTGATTGGATAGTGGTTCCTTAAGGTAGTGCTGTGGTTTTAGGTGATTATAATGTTGAGATGTGGAAGTGGTACCTTAGTTGTGATGGGTGCTGGCTTCCTTGGCGATGATGGGTTCCCTCAGCCCAAACTTCAAAGTGGGGGTGAAGAACTTTGGGGAATGTGGTAGGACTTATGGTAATGGGTTATGACCTAGTAAGATCTTACAAAATTTTAAGCAAACACAAAGAAGGGATGTGTTGTTCTCACCTCGTTTCTAGCTTCCTAAATGATTCCAAATTAGACACAGATCTTGTTTATTCTTTCTTGAATTATACAAGGGTACAAAGCTGGAAGATAATTAGTAAATCAACCTTATCTTGGACCTGTCTTATCCCCTTTTACTTTTTATCTTTTGATTGATCTTTCTCTTACATAGTTACATTCTCATTGTTGTCAGGCCTATAGCATCAGAGGTTCTACACCATCCATTTTTTTGGAATTGTGAAATGCGCTTATCATTTCTACATGACGCTAGTGATAGAGTTGAACTAGAAGACAGAGAGGCAAATTCAAGTATCTTAAAAGATTTGGAAAGCATTGCTCCTACAGCTATAGGTACCAAATGGAATATAAAGCTGGAGCCACAATTTATCAATGATATTGGCCGTTACAGACGTTACAAGTATGAGAGTGTCCGAGACCTGCTGCGTGTCATACGAAATAAGCTGAATCATTATCGAGAGCTGCCTGCTGAAATTCAGGTACAGCTTCCACTTTATGAAATATAGTTTTCATCCTTTTTTCTTGATGTCTATTCATGCATCATTTTTTTTTTCTTTGGGGGGTGAGGGAGAGAGAGAGATATTAGCTATATTATAATATATTTATGAATTTACAATACCAGAGTAAAATAATTTATGCAGTCATGTGTGAGCAAATTAATAGTATTAGATTACACACCCTAGTAGGATTTTGATCATGTGGAGTAGTTGTGTTCAGTTGTGAAGACAAATCAAGGATTTGATCATAGATGGGACTGAAGCATTATTCAGATAGAATTGCATTGGTTGTTCATTTTTGAGATGGTGAAAGTTGCCTTTTGATCACCTTTATTCGTGGCCTTGTCTGCCTTTTGATACTCATAGTGTTTTTTTTTTTTTTTTTTTTGAAGAGGTTTGCAGTTCTTATCTGTTTACTGAATAGACTCTGCAATTCTGAAATTCTGCTCCTCTATAATATTTTCTGGTACTTATTTCTTCTTAAATTGATATTTCAGGGACTTCTGGGATCAGTCCCTGATGGATTTGATGAGTACTTCATGAACAGATTTCCCAGACTATTGATTGAAGTTTATAAGGTGGCTAGTAAATTCTGCAGATCTGAGAAATGGTTTCAGAAATATATTCAAGACAGTGTGCTTTGAGCTGCCTAGCATTACAGTGGATTCAAGTGTTGTAGCCTGTACATGCCCACATCAGTGTGTTTATTCAACTGTCTTTAAACAATTCAGATGTAAATGAAATTCCTGATATTATTGCCCTTTAATGTATACGCCTTAATACATTATTTACATAGCAGATGTAATGTAATGGTTTATTTTTATTATTTATGTCAATTTGGAGTACAACCTTTACCTATTCTTTTGTTATTCCTTTTGTTATCTGTTTTCTGAAGACTTGAAAGAGTGTTCCATTTTGCTAGTTGGACCATCTGATCAGCACTTTCTCTTTCTGCCATCTGCCACTCAAGTTGTTTTGGAGCCCTTGTTTTGAAGTTATGAAAAAATTATCATTTCTAGGCGACCATATGCAACCCCTGAAGAAATTGTTTCACTGTTATTTTGCTTGTTTTAGTCATTATTTTAAAACCAATTCTCTTTCAGAACTCTTGTTTCTTCTCATAAGTATTCTCTCAATCAGCTTCTTTTGGTAAGGAGTAAGGTTGTGTACGTCTTATCTTCCACATACCCCATTGATAAACGCAGTGATGGGATTCATGCTCGGTAGTTATGGACTTATGGTTGTATTAGTGCCTCTAATTAATGTTAAGGTCAGCAAAGTAAAAATGAAGGTAATTGCTATATGTGCAAAATTTGTATCTTGCAAGCAGCATCAGGTCTTCTGCAGGAGTTTTCACTTTCCAGTCAGTTTAGTTGCAGGTACGCAGTTTCCTTCACTCTTTAATCAGACTATCCATTTAACATACACGCTCTCATATATATTATCTTTGTTAATTCTTTTATAGTGTGTTAATTCTTATGTTATCTTGATTTAAATCTCATTGTCATGTGTATATTAGTTGATTACTTGATTTTTTTAGTATGAGCTCTTTGTGGCCCTTTCTGTTGTATAAAGAGAATTTCGTGTATTTGTATGTTTCAGAAAACGTGTTTCTGTGTAGTTTATGGATTATAATTCTAAATAACAATGCAGAAAGTAAAAGAATTTTGACAGGGAAATTAATCGTATAATTGATGAAGGGCATGGGTATTATAGCTGATGCCCGGAAAATGGCTTTGTTCGTGTAATACTGACGACTAACATAACAATCTGTTATAAATCTGCGGATTGCACTAGTAGATCTCTCCTGCTCTTCCCTCTCTCTCTCTCTCTCACACACACACACACACACAATAATAAACAAGAAAAAGAGCTGAGCTCTTCAGAAATTGAAAGGTCATTTTTTGACAGAAGATGAGCTTTGTCACTTGTTCTCAATTTCTCCACTTGTTTTGTCTCCACTTCTGCATAAAATCAAAGTTATCAGGGCAAGTATAGTGGTTTTATTTTGTCTCCACCTCTGCATAAAATTAAGATATCAGGGCAAGTAGAATACAAGAATAATTTTATAATTCATAGGCCAACTGATAGAAATGCTACTCCACATTACATATAATTTTGTGGCTCACAAACTTTTCTCGCGTTTTAAACCAATCTAACTTGTACATCTTGTCATTGTCCTAGGTTACATGCGAACATAATACTACCCCTCCCCCCCCCCCCCCCCCCCCCCCCCCCCCACCCCCCCAACAAATTTTGGATTTATATATATCGTCTTTGTTCATTGACCAAGAATGGCCAAAAGGTAAAGGGTATGTAAGAAATAAACGAACTCTTTAATTTTACTCTCAGAGGTGCCTAATAGAGTAATAGTCAGCTAGATAGCTTTATTACTTCTTTACAAAACTCTACTATTGGATATCTTCTTTCTCTGATGAGGTATGATAAGGAAAGAAGCATCTCAAAGAGTATGGATCAGACTTAATGTCATGTGTGTTGTTCTAATAAACTCGAATTTGATATACATGGCTGCATCTCTTGCACCAGTTTCTTTCACATGAAAAATTTGCATCTTATAATACATAACTGCTGCTACTACTTTGTTATTTGACTTTTGCCAAACCTTCTCTTAGATAATTCATACTTTACATGATCACAGTAGAATCAAAAAATGAGGAGCTAGAATATCAGGTATATACATTAATGATTATATGTACCAGGGTCCTGTTGTTGCTGCTGCCTTTGTCTACCTAGCTATTCTTAACAGGTTTGGGTTTCTTCATCCTTCTCTTTGACAAATGTGAAGAACGTCGTGAGACAGGTGGACTGTTGGATGTGGTCCACTTGGTTAACTGATTCGTCCACTTTGGGTGGCTGACGGCGCATGTACTGCCTCACTAGAAGCCCAAAATATAAAATGAGAGCGAAAAAGCAAGCTAAGCCAGAGAGGAGGAAGAGACCCCAGAAGCTTTTCAGGTCTAGCCTGTTTACTGTAAGTTTAGTATCCTGTGACCTGCAAGCACTTTTCTTCAGCCACTTATCATGGATCCTCTGTAAGTCACCATTCTCTGACAGTTTCAATATGGCCGTGGACATGTCTACTGCCAAGGGAGAGCCTCGCGGAAATGCCTGAGGGGAGAAAAGGAATTTTATTTAGCCACATCCAACAGATAGCACTAGAAATAAGCAGTTTTGTCTAGCACATATTAAATCTGTATCCTTTTATAAGACAAGCACTGTTTCTCAGGTTGAACTATTCTCAATATCATTAAGTCATTAACTCAGATCAGAACTTTTTTTTTTTGACACAAATAGATAAAAACTACAAGATATATTATGGAGTGCTAATTAAATAAGATCTAATAATATCAATTTTACTAATTAATTTCATTGACATACTTTCAAAATTATTAGTAATCAAAGTATTTTAAAAACTGTGCTTGCCTTTTAAGAAAGAACAGAGGGACTATTCCTAGCAATTTTGGTATATGGTCATTGGAGAAGTTACTTACAAATCCCCTTCCATTTTTGGTGAACTTTTGACCTCTGATAGTGAAATCACATCTCTTTGCAAGGAAGGTTTCTATGCGCGTCATATCATCAACTATTGCAGCAACCCCACCATTCTTAGGACCCTTTCTGAGAGCTTCCACATACTCGTCGTCATTTCCAAGAGCAATAAGCCGAGACTTAGGAAAGTGAAGCTCATCATGCAAATAACTTTCAGAAAATGAACCATTTTGATATCCAATGGGATCTTTGCTCCTCATTAGGCTCTCAATCCCTTTGACAGGGGAATCAAGTTTTTGCACTGTTTGTATAGAGCTCAGACTTGCAGTATAACTTGACTTGACAATTAGAACTACAAACATCCATATGAATAGCACGATACGACCCAACACACTTAGAGCAGTTTCCCCTGCACAAGGTAGAATATAAGCATATGTTAGTTGGGCTCTTATTTTAGTCATATCTGAAAGGCATAATTACTAAACTGTCAAATTATTTCACTTACTCTGGGAACCGAACCATGTTGAACAGCTGAACCTGCATTCAAAAGCATAATCCAATTTGATTACTAAGTTCTGGTCATATAACAGAAACATGCAAGACATAAAAAGACCTTTAATTTCGTTTCATTCCTGTTTTTTTTTTACTTTCATTTCCCTTGTGTGGAAACAAAACAAGCCTTTTCCCACTCAAAACATATTGTTTAACAGTGGCATTGAGAGACAACTCCCAAAGTGACTTCAATAACCCTAAAAAGAAGTACTTGGAACATTGTATAGCACTAACCATAACACTGTTTTTATTTGATTTTGAGGTGAGCCACGGAACTCATCGTTGAACCTATGCTCCAGAATCCATATGACAACTCCCAACATGATGATAGATAAACCAGTGACACACCACAACCTTGGAGTTAGTGGCCACAAGAAAGCCCAGGCATCGGAGTCCTTGGTCTTAACAGGAGCCACAACAACAAGACCTGACTCAACAAAAGGCTGTGTAAAATCTACTATTCTTGCTCTTTTGGTGGTAATTACAATATCACCAACTACAGCATCAAACACCTGCAGTAAGACAAAATAAAAAAGGCTTTAAGACCATGTACTTTTGTATATTGGTATAAAGTTAAGAGAAATCAAACATTTTGCACTTACTCCTCTAGCCAAATTCTCAATAAGATCGTCGATTTTTGGGTTATTCTTCCCATCTCCAAAAGGTATGTAAGTATAGGAAAGACCATACGGAAGCAAATTTAAAGCAGAAGTGAACACATCAATGCTGTATCCTGTGCATGAATTTGTGCGTTCCGTCGAATCTAAACATGATACGAATTCTTGGTAAGTAACACGACGAGGAACTCCAATCCTGAGAACCTTCCCATTGTTCGGGTAAACCCATCCACGAGGCGTCTCGGTGGTTTTCCCAGGCCAAATCACACTTAATAGCCGATGACTTAGGTTAGGTGGTTTAGAGTGTTGATCTTCTGGTGGCTTAACTGATAAACCTGTATTGTTTGACCAATATCCTACTGTGTAAAGACCTGTTCCAACCACATTGATGATATCAAAAGAAGGATTGATCAAATATCTGTCTTTGTCAAACTGAATATGGCCTGTCAACCCTGTCATATTGACTCGATATATGCTGGAGAGTAGGAGGTTTCCACCATTAAAACTACGGATGGAATCAAGGTGCAAATTGATGTTGCCCTTCTGATGATTAACGGTTGAATAATCTGAGAATGATATGTTTCCCCCTTGATCAAAATATGCATCTAGAGCATTGGCAAGAATCCAAACAGTATCATACGCGTAAAGACCAAAAGTATTCAATCCAAAGGAGGCATTTCTATCTGCTTTTCTGACCAAATTGCTCCACCGAGCCATAAAGTTTTTCTTAGGTTGTGAAATGGGTGTGTGAGGTCTCAGGGTAATGATCCCTTGAACATCATTCTGTGCATTGGCAGATAGGGGAGAATCTGTATCTATGACATCAGTGAGCCACCGTGTAGCAATCCAAACAAAATTATTATCCAACATCTCAAGAGAGCTAGCCACCTCTAGTATTTGTAGACCGAATTTGTCATAAGTATGAAGAACAAGAATCCTAGACTCTTCTGAGATCACCTTAAACAACACACTCCTAATGTCATCTATGGTTGGCTCAGGGCTAATAGGTGCTTTATAGCTTATCCTACACTGCCTCTTAGCCAATTCATCACCTAGCGACACAACCCCATTTCTTCCGTAGTTGTCATCAGTGTAAATTGCAGTCACTTCCCGCCATCCATAGTAGCTCACAATGTCTGCTATAGCAGCCATTTGGAATAGATCATTCAGGGTAGTCGGAACAATGAATGGATACTCGATAGACGACAGGGTCGGGTCTGTGCCTGCAAAGGTTAGCAAAGGGACTTGCAGTCCTGTTGCAACCTGAGAAACTACATGAGCTATTACAGATGACTGTGGACCTATTACTGCCACTACATCACTCTCCATGAATGTCATTGCTGAAAAAACACATAAAAAACATCAGATGATAAACAATCAAAATAAAACAAGAAACAAACACCCAACAAAAGATCAAATTGAGTATAAAAACTTTACTCTGAACAATCCCTAGGAAGCCACTCTGACAATCCTGCATTGAAATATTGAGCTTGGTTCCATTCAAAATTTCTGGGGAAGAATTAACATCATCCACTGCAGCTTGAATTGCAACTTTTGCAACTTTACCAATTGTAGAATTATAGGACAAAATTGCTCCAATATTCACATTTTTAGATCTTTTTGAAAAATTAGTACCAACCCCACTTGCAAAAAATAACCCATGCTCCAATTTCAACACCAATAGTAGCAAAAACACCCACAATACCCTCATAATCTTGGTGAATATAGCTAAACACTAATCTAATCACAAATGAAAATTAAAAAAACAAAAAAAAAAAAAATCAAGTTCTTCACCTGCAATTTTTCATATTTATTAGACTTAAGAAAAGAGAGGAATACCATCACCAAGAATACATAAATAATTAAAAAAAAAAAAAAAAAAACAAAAAAAAACCCAAATAAATAGAGTACCAGTACCAAATAAAAAAGAAAAAATTGCTACATTTACCTTAAAAAATTGCCAAATTTGGTTAAAAGTTTAATTCAGAAAATCTAAACAAGTAAAGTAGATTCTAAGTACATGTGATTGCAAAGATGAAAGCAAAAGAAAATTGGAGAATAATGAAGGGCATATAAAAGTGGGTCCAGTAATGGAGGAAGTGGTGGAATATTTGTAAGTTGTAAAACAACAAAAGGTGTTTGTTGATAAGTATTAGGTGACTCGTACTTCGTAGCTTTGTCCGCCCGATCGGGCGGACATTGCCCGGTCTGACCGGGCGGTGGGGGTTGGATACGTTGAAGCATTCGTATGGAGTTTTCTTCTCGCGCCCGATCGGGCAGACCTTGCCCGGTCTGACCGGGCGGAGAAGGAAAAATGCGGAGACGCGGATTTTACGATTTAAAGTTATCTTTTATGTTATCTTTTTGCCCAAGTATCTTTTATTTTAGGGATTAATATAAAACCTCCCTAATATTAGTATAAGGGTTAAGAGAGAGAGAGTGAGAGCCGTTCTTGAGAAATACAAGAATCATCTTTGTAATCTTTGCAGTTTATAGTGAAATCATTCGATCTCGGTGCCCGTGGACGTAGCTATCACATCGATAGTGAACCACGTAAATTCTTGGTGTTGTTCTTATTGTTTGCATTGAATTTCTTTATTGTTTTCTTGTTTGTTTTCGACCTTTGCTTCCGCTGTCGCACAACAATTGGTATCAAGAGCTCAGGTTCAATCCTTGGAGAGTTTCTTGAAGATAACAATGGCAGGAGATTCAACAATAAGAATTGAGAAGTTTACCGGGAAAAATAGTTTCGGGCTATGGCAAATTAAGATGAAGGCTCTGTTAAAACAACAGCAGATATGGCGTCCGTTGGCTCCAAAGAGTACTACTTCGGAGTCAGAAGATGGACCGACTGACCCGCAGTTAGAAGTTATGGAAGAGAAGGCACACTCTACCATATTACTTAGTCTTGATGATCAAATCATCACGGAGGTGGCTGATCAGGAAACGGCGGCTGGATTGTGGCTGAAGCTGGAGTCATTGTATATGACTAAGTCGTTGACCAACAAATTATTACTGAAACAGCGGTTGTTTAGCCTCCGGATGCAGTCAGGTACTTCCTTACGGGAACATCTAGAAAAACTTAACTCTATTTTGCTTGATTTACGTAATTTAGATGTTAAAATTGATGATGAGGATGCTGCGTTGATTTTACTTGTATCTCTACCGTCTAGCTTTGAGAATTTTGTAGAGTCTTTTGTTGTTGGTAAGGATTCTATAACCTTAGAAGAAGTGAAGGCAGCACTTCATACTAGGGAACTCAGAATGAAAGCTACGAGTGATAATGGGGATAATGGTAGTGGGTTGTTTGTTAAGTCCGGAAAGTCTAAAAAGAATAAGGGGTTTAACAAGGGGAACAATGCTGGGTCGGGTGCTGGAAACGGCAAGGATGGATCTAGTAAAACTACTACTAAAACATGTTATTACTGTAAAGAACCGGGTCACTTTAGGAATAATTGTCCGGTGAGGAAAAACAAGTCCCAGGCTGCTGTAGTTGAAGAGAAACCGAATGAGAGCTATAATTCAGAGGAAGATTTAGCATTAGTCAGTTCTGCTAGGTCTGATGATTTATCTGATAACTGGGTTCTAGATTCGGGGTGTTCGTTCCATATGTGTCCACGTCGAGATTGGTTTGATACATATGAACCTCGCAATGGGGGTATGGTTATAGTCGGTAACAATGCTCCATGTAAGGTCACAGGTATTGGTTCCATGAGGTTGAGGACTGTTGATGGGCGGAGGTTAACTTTGACTAATGTACGGCATGTTCCTGCTTTAGGAAAGAATCTGATTTCATTGGGTACCCTGGATGACTTGGGGTACAATGGTGTGTTTTCAGATGGGGAGTTGTGTATTTTCAGAGGTTCTGAGTTGGTACTTAAGGGTATCAAAAGGAACACCCTCTATGTTTTTGAGGGTGTTACACTGCCTAGTTCTGCGGTTTGCGCATCTGTATCTCACCAGGAGATGACTAAGATTTGGCACATGAGGCTTGGTCATATGGGGGAGAAGGGGATGCAGCTATTGTCCAAGAGGGGTCTTCTATCCGGGGTCAAGGTTGCCAACCTTGAATTTTGTGAGCATTGTGTGTTTGGTAAGAAACACAGGTCAAAGTTCAGCAAGGGTGCTCACATTACTGATGCAGTGCTCGATTACATCCATTCAGATTGCTGGGGTCCATCTAGAGTTGAAGGTATGGGAGGTTACCACTATTTTGTGTCATTTGTTGATGACAAGTCCCGATACACATGGCTTAGGTTGCTTAAGTCAAAGGATGAGGCCTTCAAAGTTTTCAAGCAATGGAAAGCTTTGGTGGAAAATCGACAAGGAAGGAAGATCAAGAAGCTACGAACGGACAATGGGCTAGAGTTTTGCAAAGACGAGTTTAATCAGTTCTGTGCAGATGAGGGTATAGGTCGGCATCATACTGTCAGGAAGACACCACAGCAGAACGGTGTAGCAGAACGGGTTAATCAGACACTGCTAGAGAGAGTTCGATGCATGCTCTCTAATGCAGGGCTTGGGAGGAGGTACTGGAGTGAAGCTGTGTTAACAGCTTGTTATGTCATTAATAGGGGTCCTCATTCTGGAATTGATTCCAAAATTCCGTTTGAGATCTGGAGTGGTAAGTTGCCTAATTTTTCGAATTTGAAGATTTTTGGTTGTGTTGCTTATTATCATGTTATTGAGGGTAAGCTGGATCCACGAGCCAAGAAGGGGTGTTTTGTTGGGTACGGGGATGGTGTGAAGGGGTTTAGAATTTTTTCACCTTCGGAGGGTCGGGTCATTCTTAGTAGGGATGTTACTTTCGATGAAAACACCATGTATTCAATTAAAAATGCAGAGATTTCAGATTTGAGAAGGGAAGGAGACAATTTATTACAGACAGATGGGGTACTTGAGGTACATCAGTCTACCATTGCTGATTTACCTCGGGTACAATATATTGATGATGATGCTGATGTTCCAGTGCCGGGTACTCCTGAACCTGAGATTACTCCTACTCATTCTAACTCTGGGGATGAGGTGGAGCAATCTAATCAGGGGTCATCTAGTCAACCTGACACCATTCTTGAGATGCCTAAACGAGTTATCAAGAAGCCTGTTAGATTGATTGAAGAGATGGAGGGAAGAAATTGCTGTGTTGATGCGATGACAGGTTATGCATTGAGTGTAGCTGATGATGTAGAGTCATTTGAACCTGCCACATATAAACAAGCAATTAGTTGTAGTGAGTCTGCGCAATGGCTTGCCGCAATGGGTGAAGAGATGCAGTCTCTTTACAAGAACAGAGTGTGGGAACTGGTAAAGGTACCGGAAGGGAGGAAGCTTGTGGGTTGTAAATGGATTTACAAGAAGAAAGAAGGGTTGTCGGAAACTGAGCAAATACGTTTTAAGGCTAGGCTAGTTGCTAAGGGGTTCAGTCAGGTAGAAGGGGTTGATTTTGTTGAGATATTCTCACCTGTGGTTCGACATACTTCTATCCGTGTGTTATTGTCAATTGTAGCACATTTTGATCTTGAGCTGGAGCAGTTGGATGTTAAAACGGCTTTCCTTCATGGCGATTTGGAGGAGGAGATTCTGATGAAGCAGCCCGAAGGATTCGAAGTTCCTGGAAAGGAACACTATGCCTGCAGATTGCTAAAGTCATTGTATGGACTTAAGCAATCCCCCCGACAGTGGTACAAAAGGTTTGATTCTTTTATGGTTTCACAAGGTTTTGACAGGAATTCATATGATTGCTGTGTGTATCATAGTAAGCTGGATAATGGTTCCATGATTTATCTTTTGTTATATGTTGATGACATGTTGGTTGCCACAAAGAATAAATCTGATATTGCTAGATTAAAGGAGATGCTTAACTCGGAGTTTGACATGAAAGACTTGGGTGCAGCTAGGAAGATTTTGGGTATGGAGATCTACAGGGATCGGGCTAGAGGTAAGCTTTTCTTGACTCAGAAAAGCTACATTGAAAAGATTTTGTCTCGTTTTGGGATGGAAAAATCGAAGCCTATAAGTACGCCAACTACTGTTAGTTGTAAGTTGTCTTTGTCTATGTCACCTCAATCAGAGGAGGAGTTGTCTTATATGTCTAGAGTTCCATATGCAAACGCGGTTGGTTGTTTGATGTATGCTATGGTCTGTACTAGGCCGGATATTGCGCATGCTGTTAGTGTTGTAAGCAGGTTTATGGCTCGACCTGGGAGGGAACACTGGCAAGGGGTGAAAAGGATTTTTCGCTACCTGAGAGGGACAACTGATATTGGTCTTGTGTACGGGAATGGTAGGGAATGCTTGGTCACTGGGTACAGTGATTCTGATTATGCAGCTGATGTGGATACCAGGAGGTCTGTGACTGGTTATGTGTTCACTTTGGGTGGTTCTGTGGTTAGTTGGAAGTCTACATTGCAGTCATCAGTTACGTTGTCAACTACTGAAGCTGAGTATATGGCTTTAACTTCTGCAGCTAAGGAGTCTATTTGGCTCAAAGGCCTAGTAGGTGAACTGGGTATTGCACAGGATTTTGCTACAGTGTATTGTGATAGTCTAAGTGCGATTTGCTTAGCTAAAGATCAAGTACACCATGATCGGACGAAGCACATTGATGTCAGGTATCATTTCTTGCGTACTGACAAGAGGATTAAGGTGAAGAAGATTGGGACTGCTGACAACCCGGCTGATTTCTTCACTAAGCCTGTTCCGTTTAGCAAGTTTAAACATTGCTTAGACTTGCTAAATATTGATTACTACGTGATGTAGTAGGCCCTGAGGGGCGAAGTTGGGGAGCTCCTGGTGTAGGTGTGTTGGCCTTAAGGTGGAGCTTGCCCGGGGCTTGTGATGCAGGTGGAGCATTATGAGTTGTTATACTTGGAGACGAGTATGTGATGGGTCTTGGTTGAAGACTTATCGGGATGTATGGCTTATGCATGAGTCTTGCATCGGGTTTGGCTTGAGATGTTTTTCCACTATGTCTTGATGGGGTCGTTTGCTGACTACGAGTTCTCGTCAAGGTGGAGATTGTTGATAAGTATTAGGTGACTCGTACTTCGTAGCTTTGTCCGCCCGATCGGGCGGACATTGCCCGGTCTGACCGGGCGGTGGGGGTTGGATACGTTGAAGCATTCGTATGGAGTTT